ACAAAGATTTTAACTTTACTATACTTAGCACTACTTGCCATCCCAATTGCCAGACAAATTTTGAGTTTTTAATAGGTATGATCATTTGTGGCATAGTACATTTAGAAACTTACCAATGCACCTTGGAGAGAGAAAATTTGGGGACAGCTGAGTACAAACAACAAAACATATGGAGCTTTAAATCATCAAAACACTATAGCACATTTCAAAGTCATTAGTATGAGAAGTTCAGAATTAGTGATGGAATATTTTAATAAGAATTCCAAGAAATCCTGGAGCTTTTAGATAGTGTATGTGAAATTAAGAAATAAAAAATATCACCTTGTGAGACAACTTCAAGCATTAAATACTGACACTTTTTAATGAATTTTGATGGGGTGCCACAAGTTTATATTTTTATGGGCCAAATCTTTCCTCTTTTCTCTGTCTTTCTTACATTTCCTTTGTTTCTTTTGGCCAGCACTGATGGTACAACAGACTAATGCAGCGTTGTGAAGGATTTCCAGAACCTTTTGCCCTTTCGTATCCAATCATCACTCACACATTTTTGTGTGAGCTTTATCCCTGTGGACAAAATAACTGGTATCTGATGCACAACTGTTTTCCATTTTTTTTCAACTGTAAAGTTCATTTTTTTGCATTCTAAAACATGTGTATTCAATTTGTCTAAAATTCTTCTCTCTTTTAATAATGAATTCTCAATACTGACTTAAGTCATTTAATACAATGTTCTTAATTATTCACTGAGTTATAATTTTGTCTTTTTAGGAACAGATTTCATGCTGTTTCATATATTTAAAAACAGTTTTAATTTCATCCAGAAACCTGGGTAGATGTGAAGGATAGATAACTCTGGCACATTACACAAGATAAACAGTTCTACAAGACAAGGTTAGCAAAATGATAGCTAGATAGGAAGAATAAATTCTAGTGTTCTATACCACTGTAGGATGACTATAGCTAATCATAATATATTATATAGTTTCAAATAGCTAGGAGGATATTGAATGTTCCCCAACACAAATAATAAATATTTGAGATGATGGATATGCTAATTACCCTAATCTGATCACTAAACATACATATAGAAATATCACTATGTACTTCATGAATATGTACAATTATTATCTGTCAATTTAAAGAAAAGGTTAGTGATACTCTAAAAATGTATGATCTGAGGTCAATTAAAATACAATTCTCAAAATCCCAAATTCTTGGCCTCAGATTATAGATGAAATTTCAAGCAAGCAATTACTTGTATCACAAACTCAGCTTAAATGATCTGTATAATAAAAACTGCTATTGAGGAGAGGTTGTGGTACTGTTTTCCAGTTTATATATCACCTTAGAATGTACTGAGGGGATATATTTGTCCTTGAGCATTAAAATAGATTGCATATCTGCATTTCTCACAACATAATGATAAAAAACAGTGAAAATGACCCAATAGTCTGAGAAAATCAGTTTGCATAAAGGAGAACTGTCTTTCTTTTTGGAGACTTAAGTATGAGGCATACCTAATTCATACTTGTTTTTAATCCTTTCATGTTTTGCTTGACTTGTGTAAAAATATAGAATTTTCAGAAAACTGTATCTTCCTATATATTTTTACTCTTTGCCTGAGAGGGTTCATATTATTGTGGTATGTCTTCACAAAACAACTAAAGTCTATAAATAGCTAATTTCATTGCCTGTGTTGCCATTTCAGACGGGTTGGGCAGTTTCTCTTAGCATTACCTCGTTATGTTTGGAATACGCTTTCATACCACAAAACTTATCCTCCATTAGCAATATATGTTTCTAGTTGTAGCACTGGATGTTTGGTATTCAAATGCTTTAGCCCATGTATACATTATAAAACCACAATTCCAAACAGCCCCCATAGCTTTGTTGTTGGTTTAATTAACACCATTATGAAATTTACATTCTTTACAAAGAATATCTTCAGCTAAATACATTCATTCACATATAAACTGTAGACAAGTTTCACACTATCTCCTGTGGCTTAACATGCAAATTCTGAAACTTTATCTCAACAAAATGGTACAGTATCACATACATGCACATCTAATAGCTACAAATAATTTTTGAGGTGATGCTTGGACAAATTACATAAACCAGAAATACTTTATATAATCTTGAGTATCCAGCAAGAATGGGGTTGAGATTAGGTGATGGAGGTAAGAGAGTAGAGTAGATTAGCACCAATAATTATTTAAGAAAATTCACTTCCAAATGAATACTCCTGAGGTTTATTTAGTATCATTGAAGTAGTCAAATCAGAAAGATACAAATTGAATGCAAACTACTTGTGATGCTTCACCTTAAAGTAGATATAAAACTAGGCAGAATTTTAATGTCTTCACAGTATTCATTTATATTTCTAACATTTAAGTTACTATTTATTTCTCTATGGCCCTTCTTTTAGTTATTCTTGAGTTAATTTAAAATTCCCCATTTTTAAAATTCTATAATGAACAAAGAAACAAATTCTTCATCCTCATTTGAATGACTTTGTTATCATCCTTATCACAATGAAATAAAGCTGTCCTTTGTCACAAAAAGACTACAGTAGGTATTTATTTCCTCATTTAAAAAATTAACATGTATCCAGTTATACCAGGAATGTTAAAAAAAAAAAAATTAACATGTAATAGGTTTTTGGGCAATAAAGCCATTTACTTATACATTTTGGGCTTCCTAAAATACCAAAAAAGAAACACTTGCAAATTCCTGTTTGTATTTGTTTTATTCAAGGATTTAGCCTACTCAAAGTTTTCAAAAATAGGTGACTTAAAAAAAAAGTTGTTTGTCATTCTGTGTAAATTAGATTCAAATTACTTTTTAAAAAACCCTAAATATTGATTCCTAAAGTCCTTGATTTTTCAAAAGTATAATTTACCCTTTAGGATGCTTCAATTCAATCCCTGAAGGTTGTAAAATTATTTACTTTACATTATAGAAGGCTTGTTTTTTCATATGAAAGATACCAACAACTGGCGCTTCAATTACAATTAGTTCTAAAACAAAGAGGCAGTCATGCCATTCAGCATCAGCACACATCCCTTTTTCTATGGTCTCCCTAAAGCATTAAATATTTTTAATTAAATAAACTAAACTGTGAAGGCCCCAAATTTTGATGAGAAATTTAGTGAGAAGACTGATTTTTTTTTCTACCAAATGAGAAATATTTTAAAATTGACTGTGACTTTTGAGGGTGAAAATATTTGAAGTTAGTTATCTAAAGTTTTATAGGAATTACATCCTCAGTATTAGTACTTTTAGTTAGTTGGGGCTTTCTCTTCTCAGATTTCCAATGATAGCTAGACTATTTCTAAATACTGACCATGATTCCCTGGAGTCAAGCGAGATATATTACCTCTCTTCAGGCTTCAAGGAACCATTTGCTAGGTTACATTTCATGAGCAGTAAATAATACCCTCAAAAGTGTAAGAATTAATTCATTTCAGATGAGCAAGCACTAGTATCTCAGGGATTACTGTGACCATATAGTTCAACATAGCAGCAAGACTTTGTGAAATGGGTTGTTACTCTACAAATAGACTATTTTAAGTTGTGCCAATTATCAGAAGCTTTTTCTGTTTAAGACAAGCTTGTCCATCAAGTTTTAAACAATAATGAAAAAAGAGAGCATAAGAAAAATGAAGGCATTGATAAAACCTTAACACTATAAGCAAGAGACTATGTAACCAACTACACTACCTATACCTGCCAGTCTGTGTAACTGATTGGTTACAGTTCTCAATTATCAATTATTTCTTCATAGGATGGGACTTAATAAAAATGGCTTATTATGTAATCACTTACTTCTCTTGTCAAATATTGACAGGACAATTGGAAAGCAAACAAATGGAGGGGTATAGATCCCAGATAATGAATTAATTAATTCAACAAGTAGTTGTGGAATGCCTACTATATTCCAGGTACTGTCATGTGTGCTGGGAATACTTAGATCATCTATTTTCAGTTATTTATTCATAAATTTCTAATTATTTCCTTAAATTAGGGCTTTTTTTTATAGAGAAGATGATATTCATTCCGTTCCTAAGTCTCCCCTTAAATATTCTTTTTCCCACTGGGCTAAAAATATCACTTACACATATAACATGCTATTTTTCTCCTTAACCATCATTATTACTAGATAGACAGCAGTATGTGTGAAACTTCCTGTACAGCGGAGCTTCTTCAGAATAACCCTGACTATGATGGCTTGCAATCACAACGCAATATTCTTAATTTTCCTCTCCTTGGGCACATTTAAAATTAGTACAAGTGACTGTTTTGAAAAGTCAAACAAAACAAAACAAAACTTATATTAAAGTTTTCTTAATCTGTCCATTAACATTATATTTTTACTAATTACCTTGTGCTAGGAAATGATGAACAATAAACTTTTTAAAATTCTTTGACACTGATTTAAGTTGTCCAATTGTGTTGCTCCTCCTTGGAAGGCTTATTTATTAGAAGTCTATAAATATAAATAAAAATGAAAAGAACAAGATTTAAAAAGTATCATGGTGTTTAAGTTCAAATAGAGAGATTATCTTGCCTTTCTACTTTGCCTGATTTTCACCAATTGAATTTACAGAGTATTTTCAAATGTCTAGCAGAATCCTAAACATATAGATTTCATCTGTACTTAAGCATTTTGAAATTTCTCCTTGTCTCTGTATTAGACGGCCTTTCAAAAATAGTAATAATTAAAATACTTACACAAAACATGTTCTAAATGTTTATATTCAATGATTTTTACCTTCTAGAAATCTTTCTAGATTTATTTTGAATCCAAGCATTTTTAAAGGATTGCAGGCTAACAGTGACACTTCAAGTTTAGAAATTTAAATGAAAACTGCTAATGAGTAAGCAGAAATGGAGAGTATATATAATAAATAATTATCCATATAACTATTTAAAATTTTATTTATAGTTTCATAGTTTTCATATATTTTAATGATCACAATAATGTAAAACAAGGAGGCTCATAAAATATGAAAAATTAATTCTGTTTTACTTCTATGTCAATTTAAATGCAGAATATATCTTGAAGATGTTCCAAAATTTAGATACATATATCAATATGTTGTGCACTTTTCTTTTCCTAGAAGATTTAAGCTTTTACAGGCTATAGATATTTTTTCTCAAACTTATATAATTCATAGTATTTTTAAGCAAGGCATGTTCATCTCAGCATGGTTTACACAGGTAAAAATATTGAAAGCATAAAAATTGGATTCAATAACAAACTGCTTAGATAAGTTATAGTACATCCACACAATGGAATACTATGTAGTCACTAAAATGATGAAATAGATTGATATTTATTGGCACGAAAAGATTATTATGGTTCATTCTAAAATTAAGAATTACAAAACAGTACATATAGCTTGTTTATTTAAAAAATGTTAATGTATACATAAGAAAAAAGGTATGGAAGGATATGCACTCACTGAATATATTAATAGTGGTTATCTCTGAACTGTGGGAATTTTACTTCCTTATTTTGCATTGTGTACATTTTTTTACATTGAGCATGTATTATGTTTATAATCAATAAAAGCAAATGGAAATCATTTGAGACATCAGTAAAGCAGGGGAAAATGTATGTGATCCAATTTCCCAAACATTATTTGGTTATGAACATACATGCAATTTGTAGATAAACAATTACATAGAAACATCTTATTCTAATTATTTTATGGTCATAGAGCTAACAAAAATGTTAACAAAATTATGTATTTGTATTATATTATTTATGAAAATGAAGATTTGTATATAAGGTAATAAAAACCAACTGACAATAGAGACAAAAATTTTCTTATGGTTCAATCTATGGTATGAGTGAATCATATTTTGAAATAAGTAATTATTTAAATTTTACATAAATTGGGTATTTACTCTACTTCCAAAATGAACTTGAACTGGTATATATTAAAAGAAAGGCAATAAAAAAGTACAAAAATAGGTGTAATATGGGTGGAAGGCAGACAGTAAGAACAGGGAACATCAGGTGAAATATGGAGAATCTGCAATCTAGAAATTACAGGCTAATTAATATAACTCCCATATCAAACAGAACATTTTTTTCTGAATTTGCAAGATGCTAATACAGAAAATGAATCATATTGGGTTAACAGTTCTCACATAATGGATGGAGGCAAATAACTTAATAAAGAGACTGCCTGTTCCTTAATTCTAAAAATTCTGTGAATGTTATCACATGTATACTTTGAAGTATTTACTATAGATATCAACAAGTTTAATAGAAGATGTTCTTCAAAGTAGTTTTTCAACATCATTCTATGGACTATTTACCCTTTATATCGATAGTAGATAAAGACTGGAGGTAAAATATTAAATTATCCATAGGTAAATGCCCTTAATGTAAGCCAAGCATAAGTACTAAAGAATTTATACAAATGAGTTGTAGGAGTGGTACTTAAAGTGGTACCTAATATCAAATCTTTCAGGAAAAGTTTTTAAGATGTAACTCATAATTCAAATAGCCACTGCCTAAAGTATTAATTTTCTAAGGTACTGATTGATAAAACACCAGTATGCTTACTTCTCTGGGAATGAAGTTAATAAGGAAAACTCCCAACATTTAGTCAAAGCCACAATCAAGTCTGTGGTACGATCGCAATATATTTAAAAAAAGAAACAAAAATATAATAAATAAAAGGGAAGAAAAGAAACCTGACATCTTTTTAAAATGAACATTCATTTAAAATGATTTAAAGTAAAATTATGCACCAATGTTAATTGGATCACATACATTTTCTCCTGCTTTATTCATGTCTCAAAAAGCAAGTTACAAGTTTTCACTGTGATAGATTCAGAAGAACCATGTTAAGAATATTTTCATGAAAGAAATTAAATTTGGTATTATTGAAATAAAGAGGGAGATATACTTAATGGGTTGCCTCATCTTGACTGTTCAGGAAAAATAATGTGGAGGAATAAACTTTATTCTACATATTCCTAAGGATATTATATCAAAAAATAGTACAAAATGACAATTTTACAATTAGAAATTATGTTCTTTACTAAAATGAACAAGGTTTTCTAGTTTTTTTTTCCAAAAGAACGTATTCACTTAAAAAAAAACCTGTGAATTGGCATAAAATAACCCCTTATTACAAAGGAGCCCAAACTAAGTAGGCATCAGCTAAGACTGAAACAAATTGAGTATTCTTATTCTCACCACCTGCGCCTGGTCTGGCCCAGGGTGACATGCAGGGGCTTGGAGCCTACAATGTGACCATTCATCTCATCCACTGCTTTGGCAGCCTCTTCAAAAGAGGAGAAGCAGACAACACCGAACCCTTTGCTTTGCCCCACTTCCATCATCACTTTGGCCCTGCTAATTGATCCAAAGGAAGCAAATTCCTCCTTTAGTTTTTCATCATCAATGGTCTCATCCAGGTTCTTAATATAGATAGGTACCCCTGGAGGCCGACTCTTTTCTTTTAATCTCAGCCGTTCAAATCTCCGCCTCAACTCAGCCAGGCGTTCAATTTTCTTCTGTGCTCGCCCTACGTATAGGACCTTGCCACCGATAGTCTTTCCATGCAGGTCTAGCACAGCCTTTTGGGCAGCCTCGTGTGTCTCATATCTCACAAATCCAAAGCCCTTAGATTTCCCACTGGCATCTCTAATTACCTTAACACTCTCAGTTGGCCCATATTCACTGAAAAGTTTCTTCAGTTTTTCGTCATCCATGTCATCTCCAAAGTTTTTAACAAAAACATTGGTGAAAGTTGCTCTATCCCTTGTTCTAACCTCAGCTGCCCGCTCTTCTGGGAATTTGAATCTGCCAACATACACCTGACGGTTGTTGAGCCGCACTCCATTCATGTGCCATATGGCCCTATTGGCAGCGGCCAGGCTGTCGAAGTGCACGTAGGCATAACCCTTAGAGCCATTGTCATCGCATACGACTTTGCAGGAGAGAATGTTCCCAAAAGCAGAAAATAAGTAAAACAACGCCCTATTGTCTATGGATTTGTCCAGATTTTTGATGAATATATTTCCAACTCCAGACTTTCTTAAGCGATCATCTGGCTGAGACCACATGAGGCGGAATGGTTTGCCATTAATCAAATCAAAATTCATGGTGTTCAAGGCCCATTCAGCATCTGCGGGAAAGCGGAAGTTGACATAGCCATAGCCCAGGTGGCTACGGGTCACCGGGTCACGGCATATTCGGGTGAAGCGCAGAGGGCCGGCAGGCCTGAACTTCTTATACAGCATGTCCTCGGTGACATCTGGATCCAAGTCACCCACGTACAGGGCGGCCTTGAGATACTTCTTTTTCTTGCCGGCAGGGTTAGGCTCCCCGCTCCCCATTTCTCTGAGCACAGGGAGGAGGTTGTCTTGGGAGAGAAAAAAGGCTGCTTTCTCTAAGCTATGGGCCAAACAGCTGTTCAGGAACAGAAAAAAGCCAAGGCAGGCCAAGGGAAGCTAAAAGCAGACTCAGAATCACTGTCGAGGCTGAGAAAATGAAGTTCAGAAACAGCTGGTCAGCAGGCTCAGAACAAATGCATCAGAAAAAGGCACCCCAAATAGGAATCTATTCTCCCTAAGGGGACTTAAAATTTCCCCCCCTTTCAGATTCAATACGTTTCAAAAGCCAGTATTAGGAACAACATTTCCCTTTCCCCGTGAAACTGTAAGAAATCATCAAGCAGCTGTCTGGCTCCCCACAACTAGCATTGCCGGTAGAGGCCTCAAGACCCGTTCTCTGCATAAATATAGGCCTCGGGCTCCTGTTGGTTTAAAATGATATCAACAAGGGCAGGGGCCGAGCGCGTATTCCTCCGCCAGCTGCCTGGCCGGTCTCAGGCAGGCTCCCAGCTCAGTAAGGGCCGCTGCGCACTCAGCGTCAGCGAAAGGGCACACTACACTTGGTGCGCTTGGACCGGCAGGCAGGGTGCAGGCAGCGGATCGGACAGAGAGACAGACAGACAGACACACGCGGGGGACCAGAGACCGCCCAGATACCCAAGATGCCCACTGGGTACGGACCGAGTGAGGCGCGGTGATTTCGGTAGCCTGAGGCTCGCGGCAGGTCCAGAGGGACTGACTGGCAGACGCGCAGTGGGTCAGCTCAGACGCGAGGCGGGTCCGGACAGATGCGGGGCGGAGTCAGCAAAGAAGGGCAGATGCGCGGCGGGCAGGCCCAGTGCGGCCTGATAGACTGGGTTGCATTCCGCAGGACAGATCAACCGAGGGACCCAGAGCATATAGCTGGGGTAGGAAGGGAGGCAGGGCGGGCGGGGCACGACAAACCCGGAACCGCGCTAAGTAACTTCCCGCTTCTCTGTGCCAAGATTTAAAAAAAAAAAAAAAAGAAAGAAAGAAAAAAGAAAGAAAGAAAGAAAAAAAGGAAAAGACAAGATGGCTTTTAGATTTTTTCTTATTTAACAATTTAATTTATTATTATGTTTAAATATTATCCTTAAGCTGCTCAACTTAAAATAACAGAAGGCGGTGATGACCTGGGCAGAAAGAACTTACAAGTTTTAAAAAACTTATTCCCAAAATTACTTTTGCTTAAGAAAAAGAATATAGGTTGCATATTTTCCTGAGTGCATTGCAAAGTCAAAGTTCACAGGGGTACAGGGCTCCCAGTCCAGTGCTAAATGATCACAGGGTCAAATAGAACACAGGATCATGCTGTGTTTGGCCTTTATCCATCAATCTCCAACATAACGATAGTATTATCCCCAGGTAGGCAAACAGTTCTTTTCTCTGCTTCAGAAAACTAAGGTTATAATGATCGGAGAGCCTTAAAATGGCTTTTGATGGTATTTAGTGCCACAAAACATGGAAACTGTTGAGCTGCCTTCAGAATCACAGTTACAAAATCTCAGTTAAAGTGATAAAAGTTGTAGAAGCAATATAAAATATATAATTAATATTCATAGATGAAATAACCATGTTAAGATATAGGTACTTTATACAATTAATTATGAATTTCAACTTAAGTTGTCAATTTGAAATCATTACAGAGAAGAATGCCATAAAATTTGACTCCACTCATAGGTTTCCCAAGATCTTACTTCAGAGTTTTTGAAAAACTGTTTTTGAGGAGAGTTTTGCCCCTGTTTTCAGAAATTCACCAATATGTAGCATACATAAACAACTCCTGAAGGAGCCCCTTCCTCAACCCCTCCTTCACAAAAGAAAATCCAAATAAAACATATCAGCACTCAGGCTGGAAAAGATCCTGGAACAAAAAGTTCAAGAGAAGGACATCACCTCAGTGGGTGTTTTCTTAAGAAAAAATTCTTAGAATAATAGGATAAATTCATGTGCTGCCTCATTTTTTATGTTGTACGGTTTCTGTTAAAGTGTAGAGTTGAGTAAAGATGATATTTATTTATCCTCACTATTTACTCAAAAACTTAGTAATTTTCTTTATTGTGTTCTTGTGCTTGCTTTCTAAGATTCTTACTTAGCCAAGATGTGAGCTTATAGCTTAGCTATATGAGAAAAGGCAAATATGAACAAAAAATACTGTAGAAACAGACTGACAAACTGGTCTTACAATATGACCATGGTGACCAACATGTAGAAACACTTGTGAAATCTGTTTAGTTTATTGCATTTTGAACGCAAATTTTATAAACATCTTTTCTTATATGCATAATTAGCAATGGGCTAGAACTCTGGCCTTGTTTCTATTTTTATCATTTAAAAAATTACTTTACCTTTTATATATTAGCATAATTTTTAAGTTCTCTCAAGAATATTTTGTAGTTTTAAAGGTATAGGTGATTCATCTTTTTTGTTGGGTTTATTCCCAGGTAATATATATATATATATACATATATATATGTATATATATATATATTAATTTAGGGTATTATGGGGGTACAAACATTTTGGTTACATGAAATGTGTTTGCTTCATGCAAGTCAAGGCTACAAGCATGTCCTTTCCCCATACAGTGTGCCCTGTTTCCACTAGCTGTGGGTATACCCTCCCTAAAAAAAATAAAAGATAAATAAATAAATAAAAATACTTTATTGAAAATGCCATATCAAAATAACAACATAAATCCAAGGGAAAAATTCCCATAATCTCATAACTGACTCAAATCAATAGTTTCATTTGTTCATGCAGCCATCGACATGTTCAAATTCATTTGTACAAATTTTCTCTAAGATTATAGGTGGAATTAGATTGTTAAAAGATATATTTTCAAAATAATCTCCTCTCTACACTTGTTAGCAACTATTGCAGTATAAGCATTGTAAACTATAGTGACCTTTTTATCAGATCAATGTTCAACATCTTGGTTCTGCTTTGAAATAAATGGACATTAGTAGAGTCCCCTCTGCTAAGCAGTTTATGCACAAAAGGAAAGCATTTTCATTTGTTTAATCATTTTAATATTTAGATTGAAATGTCTTTGGAATAAAAGTCAGTTAGAGAACATTTTCTGTAATATTTATCATATATTAAAGGTAACTTTATAGACTATGTAAACCTGATTTAAATATTGAAATCCATTAAAAATTCCCACACAGATTCCTGAAGCAGTTGGTTGAAGGATATCTGAGTCTTTCTAAATCTTATAAACATTTTACATGAGGAAAAAATCATGGATAACTGACATTCTACATATATTTATCACATATTTTTATTTACAGTTGATATTAATGTCAGTATTGGTGGAAGAAGAAGGAAATTGGGAATTTACTTATTCTACCTTAACAGGCACTTTATACTGTGTTTGCAATTAATCTCAGCTGTCCAAGTTTTGGGGACTTCATTATGAAAGTAAACTTGCTACTCTTTTGAATGAAGACTGGGATGGCTGAACAAAATATCAGAAATTAAAACTTTTATTATCTAGAACTTGGCTCATATATTTTTAGACAGAGGAAAACAATTTGACACTAAAATGTATATACAGGCACGTCTACAATAAGTTTTGGGGCCAGAAGCAATTCTTTTTCCATATTTCCAAAGATTTTGTCCTGAGCCATGAGAACCTATGTGTTGAATTATAATTCTGAGGCACTTTGATAAGATTAATTATCAAATAAAAAAAATAAAAAAAGATTAATTATCAAAGAAAGATTAAAATGTGTTTATTTGATTGTACTTCGTAAAGTGAGAAGGGGACCAAACCCAGAAAAGTTTCAACAGACTTTGCTATGAAAAGGATTTATTCTAAATTGCCTATAAACCAGAATATCTCATTCTCCAATATTGTATCAAAATTTCCATATTTTAAAATTATAAAACTAAAGTTTAGATATTTATTCAAGGCTGTAGCTATAATTCATATTTTTATAACCCTGGGGAATGTGTTAGAAATTAAGAAAAATATTTTTATAAAAACAGCTTAACTTTTTCTTTTGTATCATGAGCTAACTCCTTATTGAATTAAAAAATTAAGTATTCTACCTTTCATGATAAAAACTCTCAACAAACTAGGTGTAGAAAGGAGTTACCTCAAAATAAGCCCATACATGAAAAGCCCACAAGTAACGTCATATTCAACAGTGAAAAACTAAAAGCTTTTGCTCTAAGATCAGGAACAAGGCAAGGATGGCCACGTTTACCACTTCTGTTCAGTATAGTGCTGGAGTCTTAGCCAGAGCAATTAGGCAAAAGAAGGAAATAAAAGGCATCCAAATCAGAAAGAAAAACGCAAAATTATTTTCGTTTGCAGATGGCATAATCTTATCTGTAGAAAACCCTAAAGTCACCACAAAATACCAACGTGTTAGAACTAATAAAAAAATTCCAGAAAGTTGCAGTATACTAAATCAACATACAAAAAGTCAGGTGTATTTCTACACGCTAGGAACAAACTATCTGAAAACGAAATTTAAAAAAAATCCCATTAACAAACAAAGAAAAAAGAATAAAATAGTCATGAATAAAGTTGAACCAAGGAGGTGAAAGACTTGCATTTTCAAACTTCAAATCATCCATGAAAGAAGTGAAAGAAGCCACAATCAAACAGAAAGTTATACTGTGTTTATGGATTGGAATATTTAATATTGTTAAAATGTTCATACTACCCAAAACAATCTATGGATTCAATTCAATACAATACCTATTAAAAGCCCACTGGTATTTTTTTACAGAAATAGAAACAACCACCTAAAATTCATATGGAGACACAAAAGACCCCGAATAGACAAAGCAATGTTAAAAAGAAGACAAAAGCTGGAGGAACCACCTCTCCTGATTTCAAAATATATTACAAAGTGCACTGCAATTAAAGCAGTGCGGTACTGGCATAAAAACAAACATACAGACCAATGAAGAGGCCAGAATAGTGATCCCAGTGGCAGACTCACACAGTTAACTAATATTTGGCAAGAGTGCTAGGAAAACACAATAAGGAAACGATAGTCTCTTCAACAAGTGGTGTTAGAAAAACTGGATATACGCAATGCAAAAGAGTAAAATTGGACCCTTATCTTCCATCATACATAAAAATAAACTTTAAATAGATTAAAGATCTAAAACAGTAAAACTCCTAGAAGAAAACTGAGGAAAAGTTTCATGACATTGGTTGGCAATGAATTCTTGAATATGACACCAAAGCATAAACAAGCAAAGCAAAAATAGAAAAGTGAGACTACATCAAACAAATTATGTACACCAAAAGAAACAATCAACAGAGTGTAATGACAACCTATGTAATGAGAGAAAATATTTGCAAAATATGTATCTGATAAGGGGTTAACAGCCAAAAGATATAAGGAACTCCTACAACAAAATAGCAAAAAAATAAATAAATAAAAATAAAAACAACTTGAAGAGACAGACATCTCTCAAAAGAAGGCGTATAAATGGCCTTTCTTTATTGGACACTAAATTTGCTTTTAATTATTTTATTGTCATGACACACAATGCTATAATAAACATCCTTATGCACATAATTTTATATGTTATTGGCCCTATTTCTATTAGCTAAATTCTCAAGTGGGGATTCCACAATTAAATGGTATGTATATTATTGAATGTTAATATATACTGCCAGACTTGTTTCAAAAATGCTGTATCAACTACCCATTTTACCAACAATGTGAAAATTGGAGGAAATGGTCAATTCTTAGCAAAATAATTACTCAATTTTATTCGAAGGAACTGTGGAAGAATGATCGCAATAGAACAGATTACAGAATGATTACAAATATGCTATTAAAAATAGGCACAGGTGACTTTGTAGTTGAATACTCTTATATAACTTTAAAAAATACATGTAGGGC